TCACCAGCAAACTTCCTTCTGTTTCATGCATTTACACAAGTCCCAACCACACCACCAGCATACACAATACATCGGGAAAATAAGCCTCCAAAGGAAACCCAGAGGTGGGAAATATAAGTGATATTTGTATGTACCATGGATTACAAAAGAGTTTCAATAAAATTTAAATGCTATCAAATTTGAAAATAGTCAATGTCTAGGTTTGGATTTGGTTGTTTGGAGAGATTGTTACAATTTTGCTAATAAAAACCAAACGTTCATGAGTATCAACAGAAAGCCTGGACACTAGCAATAAGTTAATACACAGCAGACAGTGCTCCCCTCTCGGGCCAGAGCACAGTCTGCTGGACCCAGCACCCTCCAAACACCTCACAGCTCCCTAACTGACTGAAAGCTTCTCTCTGAATTTTGCCTTTCACATATTTATTCCCAAAGTCTTCAGTTTGACCCAAAACTCTCTCATTTCCAATCATCACAGATGCATAGCTTTCCCGTCTATCGCCTCTCATTCCTAGGACAAACTATAGCAAATTTCCAGAAATCTAGTTCTGGCAGCTACGTGCAAATTGCTCTTTGCACCTTCTTCCCCACATCTCAAATACCAAAGTTTTCCAAAATCCGCCTCCAAAAATCAATTGTACAAAATGGAAAGAAGGGACACTTTCTGCTTGTAGTAAACTCATCTCGTATTGTGTCACAAAGAGGATCTTATTAGTGTAAATCTATAGCTTATATCTAGGTTACAATAAATAATACATAGCTAATCACATTATTTCTGCCTTTGCACGGTGCTGTGCCTGAAGTGTTCAGGTAAAACTGGCTTGTAACTTCCCTTCATTTGCTTCTCTTTTCTCTCTCACTAGTCAGTCCCTTTAGAGCAAAAAACCTAATAAATTAAATTGAGACCAAATACTTGAATTCTCTCATCAAGCAAGAAAAAGTTTGCATATTTGTCTGCCATTAGTGAATTTCTGTGAAACACTCACTCCTACCATTTCAACCCTAAAAGGAATCATATCAGAGTGGCTCTGCATTGTTTAGTTATTTCACTCCTGTTCTGTGCTTAAAGCCCAAGATCCTCAGAATGAATTCCCTGCAATAATACACAGCCTCATTCCATAATGTCCTACGACCACCACTTGAATATACAAACACACACACACTCATACAAATTATTCTCCAATGCTTTCAAGAAGGAAGAGAGAAGTAGATACCCCAAACATAATTGCTATATTAAAAAGAAGTGGCAGGCAAGAATAAGGGAAGATGTCAAAAGTGAAATACAGTAGTAGACTTAAACACACACACATACACACTACAGTTCTGTGATGGGGATGTTAATTGAAGACAGAAAGAAAAAGAAAGAGAGAAAACAAAAGGGTGCTAAGGAAGCAAAATAATAATTTTTTAACCTCCCTCCAATGATTTGATTCGGGTGGACTTCAGCACAGATAATAAACAGAGAAAAACTGGCTGAATGTACCCTATATAGATCTTCGTTCTAAAATGAAAAACTATTCAAAACAAGTGTAGCTATTCATTGCTAGCTATAACTATTCTCCTGGCACTCAATTTAAATTTATTTATTTTTTCATCATTTCTTAATTATTAATCCTGCATGATTTTGAAACAGAAGTAAAAAACAAAACAAAGAACAGTTCAAGGTGTTTTTAAGAAATGCAATTATGTTTGACTTTTTTCGACCTTTTTCTTCCACCCCACCAATCCCATCCTACCACTAGTATGTCAGAAGATAAGAAATGCTTCTTAAAATAAAAAAAAGAAAGAAAGAAAAGAAAATGTGACATTAACTACTTTGAAGTCCTAAATTCAATATCTACGTTCCCAAAATGAGCAAACAGATAAAAGTCACATCTGAAATGCACATTGCTGTAGATTTTGACAGGGTTTTTCTTGCTGCTGCTTGAGATTTGCCAAGTGAACATTTTGCTGGCATTCTTTCTTTAAATTAAAAGGAAAAAAAAATATTTAAAAAGCCAAAAAAAGGTATCAGAAGAAAAACTACCCACACTGTGAAGCAAGAAACATGGATTCCTCTTCTTTTTTCTATATCCCCACAGCAAGTTCTGACTTAAATACCCATCAATCAACTCTAATTTAGATGGTACTGCCCACTTCGCATGTTATGTACATATATGTTTCTCTAAAGTTCCAAAAGGTTGGTGAGACGATATTAACTGTTATCCTATTTACTTCTGAGTCTTCTAGAAAACAATTTTCAATCAAGAAGAAAAGAAAAAGGATAAAATAACATAAGCAGCACATGAACAAAACAACCGTGGTTCCTCTCACAGTCCACCTTTCTTATCACCACCTAGGTGAGGCCTGAGATAGAAAAAAAGTGTGAGCACTGAGTTAGAAAACAGTCAAACAAAGCAAAGCCTACCTCAAACCAAGTAACCCAGACAGTCCTTGAGACCGCTCAAGAACACTCATGCAATAAAATGGGTTTGAAAGTACCAATAGGAAAATGTCCCCAAACAGGGAAGGAATGTAGGTGAGCTGATCATGAAAGCCATCTTTCCACTAGCTCTGTATTTAAAAGGTGAGGGGGAAATGAATACTCCAGCAACTTTTACAGACACTTTGTTCCTCTGACACACCAACCAGTGGAAGATATGCTTGCACGTAGAATGAGGGTTCGGCAGATACTGAATAACGAAGTACTCAAGCTGAATTCAGAATCAAAGGGTTATTTTCCACACGCTACAGTTGACTCCTACCTTTAACACGGAGCACTCAACATTCCATGAGCGGTTTTATCCTTCCCCTCAATCCTTCCAACATACAAATTGTAGATGAGGGGAACTAGGCTTATCCCCCACCAATACATACCCAGCAGTACCATCAATCCAAAACTATGTGTGCGTGATTTCCCCCTGAAATACCCAGGGGCAATGGTTCTTATCATTTTAGATCTACATTATTTGATAAACACTTTTGAAAAAACACATTATTCTAGCAACAGCACACAATACCTGATTTAGATTAAAAAAAAAAAAAAAAGTAAACACATAATTTTCCAAAAGTGAAATGTTGCGACAGAAATTTAAAAAATAAAATGTTACCCAACCTAAAAGTGAACTTTAAAAATGTTATTCTGACCAAATATTACCACTTCCTATTACTATAGTTCAATCAATATGAATACAGAGCAAACTCTTAACCCACATCTGACCGGACCTCCATCACACACCCCCACTTTGATCTACAGCGTCAGTAGACTTTAATTAGGAGCTTGGAATTAAGCACCTTGGCCACATTGTACATTTAAGTGGACTAACAGGCTTCCTTTCAATACAACTCTGATAAACTGTCTTCTAAAATAAACTTTTTAGTCTGGTGATCACAAACGCCTTTACATTTTGATTTGACATAGTATGAATCACAATCAGCAAGAACCGATACTAGTTTGGAAATAAATTTTAACAAATCAAATATTCAGGGTAAACAAGCATCTGAGATCAAAAAAGAAAAAAGGAGAAATGAGGAAAAAATATACACACATTTACGGTTCTTGCTCTAGACTAATGAGAAGAAAGAGCAAAGGAAAGAAAAGAAAAAAAACTACAAAGTGTGACAAACTGAAAACGCTCTTTTGATTTTTGAACATACACAATCCATAAATCTCTTAAAAGGTGTCTCACCTCTAAAATAATTCAAATAGCAGCTTTGCAGCAAGGCTAGGCTCTGGCAATACAACCTGGAGGTCTTAGAAGTCGGCACATCACTGCTCAGGTGCTTTGTCTGGGGTGTTATGCACAAACAACACTCACAAAAGCACTGCTTTGACTAATTTTATGTAAACCTCAAGGCCCGAGTAATTACATATCCAATCAATGGTCACATCTTGAAGCTATTTTTCAAAAGAGACCCACAGTCACTTTTCAAAAGGAGAGCCACCCTGTATGCCCTCTCCCCTCTGTTTTTATGTGTAACTATCAATGTATATCAACTGGGCATGCAATCATATTTATTGTCACTTTCATTCATGTCATGCCCTTGCTTATATGGTTTCGATATGAATTATTGACTGTTACACTCCTTGTTGTAAAAAATAAATAAATGAATAGGATGTCAGGTACTTTGCGCGGCTCAAAGCTACAGCTTTATATAATCACCTCCTGTTCCCATCTTTCTGCCCCGTTTCAGATTGCCTTTTTCATTTTTTCTTCTTACAAGACAGACATTTACCCACTCTGGAAAATTAAGGATTAAAATAAACAAACAAGAGGATGTTGCTAAATGTCCTTCCCAGAGCATCTGTTGTTTAAGAACACCTCTGATTGATGACTGCTATTTTTTAATTGTTGCTTTAAAATTTAAATGCCCTCCTGGGATGTGTTGTAAGTGTGTTAGTCCACGATATAAGGTCTAGAAAGTAGAAAAACAATAGAATGAGTGATCTCCTGGCATTCACTGCTGCTTAAGCCAACCACTCTGCCTGCTATAAAATCACAGGGCACTCAAGTACCGATAACCTAACATGCTACAGAGAGAGCTTTCCACAAAGGTATTTGTCAACACTCTGCGTTAAACCTCTAGTCTGTCGCTTTGTGTAATTATGGGGGTGGAGGGAAGAAAAGGAAACTTTAAACAGTTCAGTCTCTCATGCCCAACTCCAAAATTACAGTTTTAAATATGGGGCAAAATGATATTCCTTCAGGATATGGACTTTTACTTTCACATTTTCCCCCAAAGGTACACGATTTTCTAAATTTCCCTTCAGTACCTCTATTTGAGGTCCAATTTCAAGTAGGCCAGCAATAGTTAAGGAAAATAAACCAGTAATGTTTGATAACTGTCAAAGAGACGGTGCGTTCTTTTAAAGGAAGCAGGGCTAAAGGCATCCTATTGGAATACAGGATCAACCTTGATAGCACTTAGTCTGAGATTTTAATAATAATGAGTTAGCAATTACTAGTTAAGAGATGAAATTGGCCAAAGAAAAAGCTTAAATGTTGGAATCTCATTCCTACCTGTTTTTTCTTTGATTTCACACAACACATTAAACAAGGCAGGCTTCATTCTGTGGCAGTTTAAAGCATGTTTTCTGCAAGAAAAAAAAAAACAATAACATGATAGCTTAGGTGGACTTTCAAGATCAAACTGCTGATAATACACAGGGGGGAAAACTGAACATTTAGCCAAAATTGTATCTCCAGCATAACTCTGCGGCACGCTCAATTATTTTATGACTTAATATACAGAGTCCGACCATAGAAAAGAAATGTTAATTAGCTGGGAGAGAGCAAGGATTTAACTCCAGAGTAGAACTAACCTAAATTATGCCTATTTAGGCTGAGTTTTGAATTGCTGTTGTTTTAAAGAAGTTTAATCAAAGTGGAATTCCTAAACCCACTCAGGGCAATGAATACAGCAGAGCTAAATGCATGGGTTTAACAGTTTGGTCTAATCTATGCAAACCACAACAGCCTAGGAGCTGTCTGCCTCTCGGTCTGTATGTGTGTGTTTTCAAATTTAATTCATCCATGTGTTCGAATTCATTCCGCAGATGCCCCTGTATTCTCATAAACACAAGATGCTTGAAAGGTCTTCTGAGTAGAACTGTCAATTTATAAAATTTTCAGTCCCCAAGTTAAAGAGTATGGAAATGCATTGCCAGGGGCAAACATACCCATATGGGGAATAAATTCATTTCTCTGTGTTCACATTATGCCTCTTGTGCACACATCGCTTATTTGCAGGTGTTGAAATTCAATTATTTACAATTAGAACCTTGCACCCATTGGGGGGCAGGGAATAAATACAATTCTGCCTTTTAGATTAGTGATTTACCTGGTTCTTGTGTGTGTATTTGCATTCAGAATGCACTTGAGGAACAAAACAATACCTTTTCCTTTATTTTACTATATAGAACCACTTAGCAGAAGGATATTGTTTTGGAAGCAAAATGCTGATCATATCAGCTATTAGTAGTTAAAGAAATTCTGTTCACTAACTAAAATTAATGTGTGAAGATAAAGGGAACCCCTGGCACTTAAAACACATGCAATTCTTTTTTAATTCCTTTGAAAGTTAAAAAATAGACACATTCTGTTTAAAATAGTAATGGTTTACTTAGCAAATAAAGAAGGTGTGCCTGGGCAAAGTGAAAACCCCCCACAGTATTTGCTAAGCAGAGTTACATTGTTTAACCAAAAAGAAAAGCCAGGTGGTCATCTGGTCAGTTCTTAATGTGGGGTGAAAGAGAGTGAGGGTGTAGGGGGAGACTTCTTTAATGTACTAAAGATCTCTTTTGGGATCTTTAAATAGTTTTCATTAATTGTATTCTTGTACATAGGCCCAAGTGCAAACAAAAATTCTAGTGTGGCTTTATAGAAATACTACATTTCCACAGCATAGAAATGGGGTTAGAGAGGAAAAATAGAAAATTTTCTTATCCCAAAATTGTTTCTGACCTCCCTCAGCTAGGAGCCCACCAAATGGGTGAACCCCTACCTCCACCAATCCAGAGTTGGCCTCAGTTTCACAGAACCGAGAGGGATGAAACATCAGAAACATCCATTTCCACCGGACCACCTCTCTACTTCACAAACTTGTTATTAAACCAGTTTATTGGTATGTCTGAGTGCAGTTTTCTGGAAAAACATAATGGAGAAATCTGTTCCAATTCTAAAGAGAATTGTCAGTGGGAAATCTTTCACTTAAAATTTGAAGCTTTTCCCCATTTAAAAAAAAAAAAATATATATATATATATATATTATAACAGGTCAAGTTTTTGAACAGTTCCAAGTTCTCAAGCACCCATAAACCTCAGTAGTTTTCAGTTTACATGTTGCATGTGCTCCCAGCTAAAATAAGGCTGTAATTCATAACATCCATGCTTTTGGCTGCTCTGTCTCATTTTCTCAACTCAAACTATTTCCCCCCTTACACACGGATACATATAATGACATCTTCTTCATCTAACTAACTAATTTGAGGTATAGGGTTTGTGTGTGTATGTTTAAAAGAATTAAAAGAAATATTTCTGAGATTTAACAAGGCTGAGTAACTGTAGAGACATACACGGTCATTAGATTTTTTAAATTCTTTCATCGCAGACAGGGCTTCTGTAAGCTGTTAGTGGACTGCCATTTAGACCGTGTTTTATTTTGAAAGGGAATTTTCTGTAAAATCCTAGAGTGCAAAACTATAGCAGTGACGGTCACTTAAGTTGAGAACCTACACAGCTTCTTTATTATGTTTCCATAATGCAGATCTCCAAGGCCTACGTCCTGAACTACATAAAATTCACACATGCTTCCGTTTCTATTTAGTTGCATTCTAAGTAGCCCTGAAGGAAGCATGGGTTAAGGAACATGCTTGATTTTTGTCACCCACCCCTTTTTAAAGGACCATACACTGCAGTCGGTGTCACCGAAGGTTAGGAAACCAACTCTAATTAAGAGACAATAAAGTTAAACTAAACATCTGAGTCTCTTTAAACTAACAAATACGTCTAAAAGCAACATTTTCTTTTCTCTCTCTTTTTTGGGGAAATAGAATTAAGTAAATGCAAAATATGATCTGGATAGCTGACAACTACTGACAAAGAAATGCCCTGTTTTGGGTTTTTTTTGTTGTTGTTTTTTAAGCCAGGGGGAGAAGGGGGGTGGGGGGGTTAAGATCAAAATTAATTTTTGAGTGGTAAGTCAAAAGAGGAAATCAAAAGTCGCTGGATTGGCAAGGAGTCAACTCAATTTGCGAATAAAGTGTTCTTGGGACAATTTATTTGGTAAGAAAAGGAGTCCCTCAACAAGGAAGCATGGAATGCTGTTCAAAACTTGACAATCCTGCTTTCTCGCTGATACTTTGTTAAAGCAGTAAAAAGTGCCGAGGGCCGCTTTTGGATCAGTTGGCAGCATTTTCGTCGTTCCTGTGTTAGTGTGGATATATATGAATATCTCTATAATCACACACACACACACTACATATATATGCATATAATTCTATGTACACAGCCACATCACCGCATGGGCGATTACACTTTCGATAACAACGCTCCCTTAAATTATACTCCTCCGCCATGTAGTTGCTTGCCAAAATGGAAAAAGAAATAACATTTAAAAAGAAAGCGCTGTGGTGATTCGGTTCCCATTGTTTCCCCTTGCGAGAGGGAGAAAAACAAAAAAACCCCAAGAAAGGAAAAGAAAAGCCTCCATCTCACCTGGCCTGCGCCTCATCCAAACTCTGGTCTGTGATGGTCATAATTTGCTGTAAAATGTCTCCAATGTCCTGCTTCCTCCCGCCCTCCCCCTCGGTCCCTCCGGCCCCATCCTGCAAGTGCTGGGACAGGCCGGGGTGTCCGGCCATCCCGACCCCAGCATGGGAATGCATCAGCCTGGGCTGCTCGTCCATCTCCAAAGGCAACGGCAGCCCCCGGCTCTTCCTCTTCTGCTCCTCGGCTCAGCTCCTGGGAAGCACCGAGGCTTTTTATCCGTCAAGCTGTCTTCAAATCCTTTTCAGGATAAACAGGGAAGGGGGAAAAAAGAGCACCAAAAGAAAAAAAAAAAAAATCCCTTTGCCTCTTTAGAGGATGGTGGGAGGATGGGGAGCGGGGAGGGGGAGGGGGGCGTGAAGGGGTTGCGGGGTGAGGGTGGGGATAAGGGCTGGTGGGGAAGGGTGTTGACTCCAAAAAGCAAGAAAAAATAAACCACCTTCCCACTTGGCGAAAAGAAATCAGAGCTGGCTTTTGATTTTTCAGTCCGGTCTCCTTTGCAAGGCAGAAATGGGCTCTCGGCGCTTAAATCTGTGGCTTAATCCTTTTGCAAATATGCATTGATCGGGAGAAAGGAGAGGAAGGCAGGGGGATTGCAATGCAAACTTTCCCCCCCACCCCCCGCTGCCCCCCACCCCCACTCCGGGCCAGAGTGATCTCAAAGGGGGTGGGCTGTTGCAAAAGCCAGATCTCCCCAAGCCGCGGTGGCAAGCAAAGCACAGGCTCTCTTCTCCTCCGTGTCTCTGCAAACTCCAGCAGCCCCGTCAGCCTCCTGCTTTTGTTTAGCTCAGGCTCAGGACTCCAGAAACATATACAGAAAAACCACAGCCTGAGAGGAGGAGGAGGACAAGAAGGAGGAGAGAGGAGGGGGCAGAGGAAAGGGGGGAGGGGCGGGGAAGCCAGGAGGCGGGGGAGAGAAGGAGGGAGGAGGGCGCGCTGGCCCCGCCCCCGTTCCCTGATTGGCCATAAGAGAAAAGACGGGCCCCTCCTCCCCCTACTTTCCTCATTGTGCCTCCTCTTCAGCCTCCTTCTGCTCCTCCTCGCCCGGCGCCCTGTCAATCAGAGTTCAGAGGTGGGCCGGGAAGGAGGCTGAGCTAATACCAAGTCTCCAGTCCTTAAAGGTGCAATGGTACAGTAGTTACAGATCGGTTAGTCAGTTTCCACTTTTCTTTCTTGTCTCTCTCAGGTTTTGTCCTTTGAAAAAATGTGGCTCCAGTTTAATGCAAATGTTTAAAATTAGCACGAAACTACACAGATGATTTGGAGTTGTTTCGATTTTCTCTTGCTCTAACATTGCCACTTCAAACTTCAGTCTTTTATATCCTTAGCACTGAGGGAAATTGTTGAAAGCAAAGTTTGTCAGCACGAAGTAGTTATGACTGAAAATGAATGGAACTGTTAATATAATTAACGATCGCTAATAAGCATTAGAGAAGCCTTGGTAGCGTAGTGGGTTCCGCTTTGGACAGTTAACCTCAAGGTAATCAGTTCGAATCTACCAATCGCTTGCAGAGAAAGATGAGGTGTACTGCTCCGGTAAAGATTTACCGCCTTGGAAACCCTATACAGGGTAGCTCAGAGTCGTAATGCTATGAGTCTGAACCAAATCCAGGACTCACCATCACCAATAATCATCATATAAAATAATAGATTAAAAACAGCTATCACAGTAAAAGTTAAAAGGAATACCGAACTGTGACAATTTCATTTCATAAAAACTAATTGTGGACTATGAAACTAAATTCTGAAGAAAAGATTAAGAAATAAGTTCACCAAATGAAACTAATTCAACATTGTTTTGCTTTCCCCCTGGGGGAAATTTGTTATTTGGCTTAAATAGTTAATAAAGAAATGCATTATCACAGTCTGGTTCTCATTTTCAATATAGTTTAATAAGTATTATTAACTGGGAGAAGGGAACTGACATTTATTGAATGCCTACTATGCACCAAGTAATTTACATGCATTATCTTATTTAATCCCCAAGACATCTCTGTGAGTTATGGCTTATTATTTCCATTTTTTAAAGAGGGAATTCTGAAAGATTAAATAACTTGTCCAAGTTTCCACAACTATGAAGTATCAAAGCTAGAATTGAAATGTAAGTGTGCTTCTCTCCAAAAGATAATGTTCCCACTATAGAATCTGCCTCAATCAAATGGAATTATTGTTAAGTGCCATCAAGTTGTTTCCAACTCACAGCCACCCTGTATAGGGTTTCCAAGGAGCTGTTGATGGGTTTGATTCACCAAACTTGCATATAGCAGTTCAGTGCATATCCTACCTACAGCACCACACCAGGACTCCAATGGAAGTAACAGTCTCTTGCAGGTATTAGTTACATATGTATTGCCCCTTTTGTAAGAGAAAAGAATTAAAATGTTTTCAGAACCGAAAGCCAAACCAGTTTTTATAGAGTCCCACTCATGGGGACCCCGTGTGTTCATAGTAGAACTGCTCTGGTCTGCTGAGGTGCCTTTGGACATATTTGAACCACCAGCCTTTCAGTTAGTAGTAAAGCATTTAACTGTTTCACCACCCACAGACTCACCCAAGGACTCACTCAAAGAGTCATACATGTATCATATTTAAACAAGATGATTTAAATTGAAAGTGTGTGGTAAAGAATAAAGAAAAAAATAAATGAAATCAGAAAAAAAAGGTATAAACCCATAGCTAAAGCCTTATATGCTAGCTCAAAGTGTACCACAAATTTGCCTCTATTCTTTTTATTAGGCAAAGCAGGCAAGAGAGGAAATCTAACTAGTTACAATGTCTATGAGATAAAATATAGCAGCACAATAAGGAAAAGTTCAGCATATTCTGGAATAGACAAATGTTCCCTCTGTAGCCAGCCCTCTCCCTGGATGGCAGTATAGCCAAAGGAAATGCTTTGAACCACTGTAAACCTCAGATATCCCAATCTGCAAAATGGAAGGCAGTCTTGCCAGGTGCTTTGAAATCCTCAAGTAAAATGTTATTCTTTTCATTAATCCAACCTCCTTCCCAGTCATTATGCAAAACAAGTTTGGCAAGATAAGAAGCACTTATGAAACATTTTGAAACAGTTCTTAACAAGCTACTTATACTTCTTTGTAAGAGGGCATGCAATTGTGAGCATTAGTAATAATTACAATGTCCTATTACTTAATAACAGCTGTTTTATTCACATACATACTCTGACTTGTAACCTGTTTGCATTATCAACACTGATCAAAAGTGGAGCACTAAACTATATCCTCAAACTACCATCAAAGTGTTACTTAGCATATCCCTTATAACAATGGAAGTTACACATCTTAAAGCATGAAACAAAATCAACCCTATACCTACAAGATGTCAGTCTGGGAGTAAATCTAACTCCAAGTCAAAAGATAAAGCATTAGAAAAGGCACGATCAAGTCAAGAAAGTCATTGTCATATAGGAACAGTTTAGTAAGGAAATTAGAAATGCACACAAAAATAATTTGTGCATTGTTGTTGTTAAGTGCCATCGAGTCAGTTCCAACTCACAGCAACCTTATATAGGGTTTTCAAGGAATAACTCGGGGGTTTGAACTGCCGACCTTGCATTTAGCAGTCCAGTGCTTATCTTACAGCACCACACCAGGACTCCAAAATATATAACGGTGATGGCTGTGTGCTGTGGAGTCGGTTCCAATTCATAATGACCCTGTATAGGGTTTTTCCAGGCTGCAGTATAATGGATTATGAGCTGAGTTACTAACTTCAAGGTCACAAGTATGAATCTACCAGATGCTCTACAGAAGAAATATGAGACTTTCTGCTTTTGTAAAGATTTATAGCCTCAGAAACCCTACACAGCGTCGCTATGAGTCAGAACCAACTCAGCGGCACAACATTACAGGAGCAGAAAGCCTCTTTTTCTCCCACAGAGCAGCTGGTAGATTCAAACTGCTGACTTTGTGGGTAGCAGCCCAACTCCTAAGGCTTAAAATGCATAACAGGTATGAGTTATTCAGTACTTGCTATGGTTGGCTCTGTAACAGTGACTCTGTAGGATAAGCACTAGATATTCTGTTCCCATAAAAATTTATAACTTTGGAAATCTTATACAGGGTCACTATGAATCAGAACAACTCAATGGCACCTAACAACAACAACTATGGTTAATTATTATATGCAAAGGTCTTCATTAATTTAATATCAGCTGTGTGACCTCATTACCTATTAATTGAATGAAATACATTTCAATAAATAACAAATGCTAAAAAAACAAAAAAAAAACAAAACGGGTACCATGGTCTAGAAACTATAAAGAATTCGCAAAACTAAAGCCATTGTCATCAGCTGATTCCTAGTCAGAGCAACCCAATATAGGGTTTTCAAGAATGTAAATCTTTATAGGAGCAGACAGCCTCATCTTGTCCAGTGAAGTGGGTGCTGGGTTTGAACCACCGTCATTGCAGTTAGCAGCCCAATGCCTAACCCACAGCACCAACATGGTTCCTTATAAAGGATTAGAGAAGGAACCAATTCCATTAGGATGATTAGAAGCAGGGGTTGAGGTGGGTCTGATGGAAGAGTTGAATCTGGAGAACAGAGATAATGAATGTGAATGTGAGCTGAACTTTGAAATTTCTTGAAACTTTCTGTTCGGCTCTTGTACCTCCCCCTTTTTTCCATTTGCTTTAGCATCTCTACCTTGGAGAACAAGCTTCAGAGTCTCTTCTGACATCCATTTTGGTTTTTCCTTCTTTCCTTTCCTCTAAATGTCTTTTTGCTTTTTTCCTGTATGATGTTCTAGATGTCATAACACAACTCTTCTGGTTTTCCGTCTTGTTCTTCAGAGGATCTCTAAATTCAGGTGGGGTATGTTCCAGGTCATATTTTGGCTCTTGTGAACTTGTTTTAATTTTCTTCAGCTTCATTCTGAACTTGCATAAGAGCAATTGATGATCTGTTCCACAGTCAGACCCTGGCCTTGTTTTGGCTGATGATATGGAGCTTTCCTACTGTCTCTTCCCACAGATGTAGTCAAATAGATTTCTGTGTATTCCATCTAGTGAGGTCCATATGTATAATCACCTTCTATATTATTTATAAAAGATATTTGCAATGAAGAAGTCATTGATCTTGCAAAATTCTTTCATGCCATCTCCAGCATTGTTTTTATCACCAAGGTCGTATTTTCCAACTACTGATCCTTCCTCTTTGTTTCCAACCTTTGCATTCCAATCGCCAATAATTATCAATACATCTTGATCACGTGATTGATCGATTTTAGACTGAAGAAGATGGTAGAATTTTTCAATTTCATAGT